ATTAAATTTTCCTAATTTTATGGATCGATTTCTAAAAATTCCACTTGGGAAAAATTAATTTTTATGAAAATTTTTTTCCAGTTTTTTAGAAAAAGATATCTGGGTTTCCCCAATCGAAAATATATCTATGTACCCTAAAATTTTTATTCAAAAAAATGTAAATTACCTGTAAAATTTTCAATGCAAAAATAAAAACCGAAATCTTTCTATGCAATTTGGCTAAATTATAAATGATTTGATAATAACATGCAAATATAGTTAAACTAAATTAATGAAAAAATCTAAAGTAAAAGTTACTGTATAAACCCCAAAAATTTTATTAAAAAATGACTTTTGTCCTAAAAAAGATTTTCAAAAAACACAGTAACCCAAACTTTTTTTCCCAAAAAAAAGTTTTTAAAAAAAGATTTAAATCCCGTCAATCAAATTTTTAAAGCTTTAAAAAGAATGAAAGTGTATAAAAAAATCATAAACCCAACTTTTTATAAAATTGACCTGCATATGAAAAACAAATAACTTATGTAATTTATATCATTTTGTGATCTTTAAAAAATTTATTTTTATCAATTGTACCTGTTTTACATATCAAGAAAACATACACAAATCAAGAAATATACACATATCAAGAAACATACACATATCAAGAAACATACACATATCAAGAAACATACACAATATCTGTATACATACTATAAAGAACTATAAATCTATATAACTATATAAATCTGCTTACGAACTATATATAATTTCCCTCCTAATCTGAAAAGCACTAGTTACAAAATTTGCAAGATTTCGAGTTAATTTTTCTTTATCTGTATTTAACAATTCCAATAATTTTTGCATATTCGGGCGTCTCCAATAATAGGACGGGATAAAACGTTGTCTCAATTCAGCGTATACATTACATTCTGATATAAAATGAAATTCATCTTCTAAAATACCACATGCATAACATATTCTTTCATTTATAGGTGTACTATTTGGTTTCGTCCATCTACCAGTTTCAATATGTAATCTATGTGAGGACACCCTCAGACGTGCTAGTTCGCAATAATATTTTTTAACATTAACTAAACTGAGGTATGGTTGCAATTTAAAACATGATATTTGCCTGTAAAATAATGCTCTACTGGAATCCTGTAAACGACTTGACCAGTTTTGGACAAAATGATCTCTTAATCTTTGTTTTACCACAAATAAAAACATATCAATATTTCCAACACTTTGCATAAGCCAGGCGTCATGGAACCCTAAAGAACACAAAAGAGACTTACCTAAGGAGCACCAATTAGCTTTATTAGGATGGTTTTCGAAATCAGTTTTCAATAGATAATACACGTAGATGACTGTATATAGTAGCATAACTAGACAGAAGACTTGTCTTGTCAGGAGCGTAACTGGGTCAATTTTAAACAAATAAAGTTCGCTTTCAACCGATCCTTATAGCACATATAACTACGATAGTGTTGTTATTTTATCTATATCATATTTAATCAATGAAAATTAATCAAACATAATGAATGATATGATAGATGTAAGGTTAGTACTGTAAGTTTTAACATTACTGGAAGGATGGTGCAGATACCCGCTGTTAGATATGACACACTTTGCCTTATTTAATCAGTGGACTACAGTATACAAACAAAAGTTGCCCTGATACTTTTCAGCGGTATAAATTATTGGCCAAATAGCAGAATCATCTTTGCTTCTGTTGCTTTCTGGCAATTAGTAAGTTTATATTTATTTGGTAATTTGTACTGAAGTCAATAATAACTTGTCACTTTTACTTTAAATAATCATGAATATTGTTTAAAATATTTGTATGAAAGTGTAAATTATATGTTTTGAATGTTCTTCACAATTGTTTTAGTCGTGTTTTATGCATAATATTTGTTTTTAGAATTTACAATATCAACTTCACGAATTCACAATTTAACGATTTAATCTTGAAAAAAAAAGAAAGGGTATAGGTGTCACTGTTTTTATTTGTTTGGGTCGTCAGACCAAACAAATAATGGTAGCGAAATTTCAGACTCTGATGATGTTAATTGCAAATGCCGAAAGTAGTCCGCTTTTTTGAAGCGGTTACTTCCCTTTATATGTACACTAACGCCGAAAAATTCAGGGGAGATCACTGCGTAAAGATTGTCAAATGACAGGCGCATTAATTTTCAAGCAAAATAGGTCTCGAATGGTCGAAGATTTCTAATATTGTTTAATTCTTTATAGATATACATGCTTAAAGTAAGCTCCATGATTATTTACATCTGTGTTAAACAACAAGTTTAGCGTCGAAATAATAAGAGTTACAGACCCTAATTTAGAATAATATGGTTTTCTTCAGGCCGTTAACATGTAACTTCACCGTGGCCGAGGGGTTTGCACGCTCGCTTAGGAAGCGAAAGGTCTGGAGTTCAAATCCAAGTTAAGGCAACTCATTTTTTTAAATTATTAAAGTCAAATAAACATTGAATTGAATATCAGTGTTGCAATTAGTCTTCAAGCCAATTTACTACAGTTAAAACACTCACAGTATATAAACGATTTGAACCCCAGCCGGATCTTGTGAGAAGATTTTAGTGTCAGCCATATTCTGCCACTTCACTTGTTTACGATATTGGTATTTATATTGATACTGATGGACGTTAGGTTAGTAAATCTATATGTATATTATAAGAGAGAAACTTTATTAAACGTCTAAGTTATGCAAAACATAAACGTTAGCACGAAGGCTATAAAATAATCGAAACTCACGAACAGCTTTCGGGTGATCAACACTGAACACGAACAAAAACCCGTCTTATTCCAATGTTGATTTAGTTAAACATTGAATTGTGATATCGAACTACTAAAGTAATAAATAACAAACGATAATTTAGTCATATGCATAACATATTGCTGTATCTTGAACATAAATTTAAGAGTTTTACCAAGGAGGTCATTTCCGTAAACTGAACGTTACTTGCTAGTGATTGTGAACCCTACTTGTGAGTTTACGAATTTTATCTGTACCCTGACTTGTGAGTATTTTTAAAGATTTATTGGAGAAAAGTTTACGTTCATTGCGATTTTGTATCAATTATTGCCATAAAATATAAATGATTGTAATAGAATTTTAGTATATAAGGTGGGATCTAAGGTATTTACCGAGAATTGGTTTAACTGATAATATTGTTAATCATTTGTTTAATAAAATATATAATGCTATGTATATTTTTCTTTCGGGTCACCATGGAAGAATACAAGTGTATATACTGTTCAGTAAAGACTACGAATTTCAATGCCATCATTGGCCACATAATTATTCGCCATCCAGACTGCAACTTGAAAATAAAAATAAATAATGATCAGAATAAAATTTCCTACTTAAAAAATTTCAGCGTCACAGCCAATAACGTAAACGAAAAAAAAGAAGTTTATAACACCAATTGCTGAAACACTGACAATTAAAATTTCAAAATTTCCCGAATATTCTCCGTTTAAAAAGATGCCAAAATTGTCGACGCATATGAAAGATATATAAGAATAAAAGTCGTACATGTCAGAAATAGAAAGTCAATGAATTTCTGAGAATATAAAACAGTGTTTAAAAAAGCAGAATGAAACCAACGGTAGGTGTAAAGCTTGCAACATGTTGAAATAAGTAATCTGCAAAAAAATCTTTAAATGATATTTCGAGGTTTATTGATACGTGACGTTATATAACGGTCACGTCAAAACTAACAACAATGCCGTTGAACTAGATATAAAAAAATTATAGAACATATGTAATATTTTAGCTTTATATCTTTCCAAAGAAAAATGAATGGTAAGTGAAGATGAGGTTTGTTAGTTAATTATTCCTATCAAGAAATAATTGACTTTATGATTTGTTTAAACAGCCACTTTCGTAGACAGTGAAAACATGCCGAAGCTCCGCCATTCATATGCAGTTTTAGTTACTTACATGTAAAACATGTACCCTTCTTTTGTGACACAATAACTTCATGTTCTGCACAGTAAAATTTGGAACATACGACAAAAACACAATAAAAATCATCAAAAGTGACTCGCAAGTAATGGTTCAGTGAAAACACAAGTAGGGTACAGATCATTAAAATTGTTTTAGCAAGACGGGTACAGTTATCAGAAATGTCGCCTCTATGTTTTACTATATTTTATCAATATTCAAAGATATTTTCACAAGTGTCTGTCCGGTAACATGAGGTTTAGACAATAAATTAAAGATTCAGATATGAGTTATAGTGAATTAAACAATTTTTAGGCATACATTTGCTTGTGTAATCGGCGTGTGTTGACATAAACAATACATGAGGCGAAGAGCACAGCGTTTTATGCGCATATATTTTACGAAGAAGGTTATGGATGTATATTTAAGCAAAGATAAATCATTTCTTAATATGATTCAAATGTTAACATACCGTAACATATTAAATTCAAACCGATTTTTAATAGTTTAATGTGTCATTACGCCTGATTGTACGTTTAGATGCTGAGATCTTCTCACAAGATCCGGTTGGGGTTCAAATCGTTTATATACTGTGACACTGGAAAGCATTGGTGGCACTATACAAAAACAAACTGGTTTATAATCTCACAACCTTCACCTTTCTGACATTCTGAGACCCAAACAAATTCAGCGCCTTCTGTGCTTCGATTGTTACTTGAAACTAGTTGAGAAAAAATCTTGACCCCCGCATACTATAGTACCAACTTGCAGTGTCTAAGACACGGGGTTACGTAAGGCGATACATATTAGCCGAAAGGTCAATAAAGTAAGACCTTTCATGTGTATGTTGCTTAAATGCAAGCTATTTCTATATATTTCCAATAAATAAAACGAAAAATTGGGCTTATTTTGTAATGACCAAACCGGCCAAATTAGGATCAAACTAAAGCCTTTATTCTTCTTTATGAGAAGGTCCTGGATGTCGAATGTGAATACTCATTGACTTGAATCATCGATACTCTATTATACAAGTACTTTTACATTATTTCAGCAGTTTCAAGTCGGCACATACCAGAACAAATTCACATTTCATATGGCGATACCCATGATAGCATTGTGGTCATGTGGTCTTCACGTGATCATGTCACGTGGGATGTGCATTACGGAATATCACCGTCAGCCATGGAAATGACTTCACAAAGTAGAATGGCTACATTACCAAACACGCACAGTAAAGCAGCGAAATATATCTATAGATCTACACTTAAGGTATTTAAGAATTATATATGATCTGTGTATTTCTTGAATTTCGTCATTTTAAAACAGGTCTGTAACATTAACACAGTCGCAAATTCTGTACATTTACTTAAAATTGGCAAATTGTATCTGTTGAAATTGTAGAAATGTATTTATACCGATGCTTTACTTTAAATTCTTCAAGTTTGGTGATTACCATTCTGTAACAGTGTTCCAACTGCATTTGATATTTGATAGTTAAAATAAGTCAATTTTACACGCTTGACGTCTGAATCATATTTTCTAAAATTAAAGATGTACAGTTTTTGATATACAATAAGTTTGGGGGAAAAACATGATTTATTACAGTTTGGCAGTTATGGCATCTCATTTTTTACCACCTTTTTGCAGAGAAATTTAGCTTATTTCTTTTCATTTTTGTTCTTTTTTTTTCGCTTTTTTAGTTTAAATCATCTGGCATTTATATTCATGAAAATACTATCAGTTGAATTTTGTTTCATATATATATTGAATAAATATTGTTTTACAGAATCTGACCCTCGCAACAACATATTTCTATAAAATTGTGTCAAAAATGGACCAACCTCCGCCGATTGAAAGTGAAGTATTTAGTTTCCAAACATTACCAGGTGAAAATGTAAGAATAAATTCATATTATTTTATTCTTTATCATAGTCACCTCAATGTGATAACCTATATCTTGAATTGTATAATATATTCAACGTTATGTGGAAGCATGAACTTGAATGTTAAGGACATGACAAAGCATGAACGTGAATGTTAAGGACATGACAAAGCATGAACGTGAATGTTAAGGAAACGTGAATGTAAAGGACATGACAAAGCATAAACGTGAATGTAAATGACACAACAAAGCATAAACGTGAATGTTAAGGACATGACAAAGCATAAACGTGAATGTAAAGGACATGACAAAGTATAAACGTGAATGAAAAGGACATGACAAAGCATAAACGTGAATGTAAAGGACATAACAAAGCATGAATGTGAATGTAAAGGACATGAAAAAGCATGAATGTAAATGTAAAGAACGTGACCAAGCACAAGCGTTAATGTAAAAGGACGTGAAAAAGCATGAACTTTTATGTTTAGGACATGACAATGCATGAACGTGAATCTTAAGGACATGATAAAGCATGAACGTGAATGTTTAGGACATGACAAAGCATAAACGCGAATGTAAAGGACATGACAAAGTATAAGCGTGTATATAAAGGACATGGCAAAGCATAAAAGTGAATGTAGAGGACGTGAAAAAGAATGAACGTTTATGTTAAAGACATGACAAAGCATGAACGTGACTGTAAAGGACATGGCAAAGCATAAATGTGAATGTAAAGGTCATGACAAAGCATGAATGTGAATGAAAAGAACGTGACCAAGCACAAGCGTTAATGTTAAGAACATGACTAAGTATGAATGCGAATGTAAAGAACGTGACCAAGTATGAATGTGAATGTAATGGACGTGACCAAGTACAAGCGTTAATGTAAGCAACGTGACCAAGAATGAATTTGAATATTAATGACGTGACAAAGTACAAGCGTTTATGTAAAGAACGTGACCGAGTATGAATGAGAATGTAAAGAACGTGACCAAATGTGAATGTAAAGAACGTGACCAAGTATGAATGTGAATGTAATGAACGTGACCAAGTACAAGCGTTAATGTAAAGAACGTGACCAAGTATGAATTTGAATAGAAAAGACGTAACAAAGTACAAACGTTAATGTAAAGAACGTGACCAAGCATGAATGTGAATATAAAGGACGTAATCAAGTACAAACGTTAATGTAAACAACGTGACCAAGTATGAATGTGAATATACAGGACGTGACCAAGTACAAGCGTTAATGTAAACAACGTGACCAATTATGAATTACAATATAATTGACGTGACAAAGTACAAGCGTTAATGTAAAGAACGTGACCAAGTATGAATGAAAATGTAAAGAACGTGACCAAATGTGAATGTAAAGAACGTGACCAAGTATGAATATGATTGTAATGGACGTGACCAAGTACAAGCGTTAATGTAAAGAACGTGACCAAGTATGAATTTGAATATAAAGGGCTTGACAAAGTACAAAGGTTAATGTAAAGAACGTGACCAAGTATGAATGTTACTGTAAAGGAAGTGATCAAGTACAAACGCTAATGTAAAGAACGTGACCAAGTATGAATGTGAATGTAAAGAACGTGATCAAGTACAATCGTTAATGTGAAGAATGTGACCACGTATGAACAAAAATGTAAAAAACTCGACTAACTATGAATGTGAATGTAAAGGACGTGACCAAGTACAAGCGTTAATGTTAAGAACGTGACCAAGTATGAATGAGAATGAAAAGGACGTGATCAATTACAAGCGTTAATGTAAAGAACGTGAATGTTAAGGACATGACAAAGCATGAACGTGAATGTAAAGGACATGACAAAGCATAAGGACATGACAAAGCATGAACGTGAATGTTAAGGACATGACAAGCATGAATGTGAATATAAAGGACGTGACCAAGCACGAATGAGAATGTAAACAACGTGACCAAGTATGAATGAGAATGTAAAGAACGTGTCCAAGTATGAATGTGAATGTGAAGCACGTGGCCAAGTATGAATGTGACTGTAAAGGAGGTGATCAAGTACAAACGTTAATGTAAAGAACGTGATCAAGTATGAATGTGAATGTAAAGAACGTGACCAAGTATGAATGTGAATGTAATGAACGTGATCAAGTTCAAGTGTTAATGTAAAGAACGTGACCAGGTATGAATGTAAATGTAAAGGACGTGACCAAGTATGAATGTGAATGTAAAGAACGTGATCAAGTACAAACGTTAATGTAAAGAACGTGACTAACTATGAATGTAAAGGACGTGACAAAGTACAAGCATTAATGTAAAGAACGTGACCAAGTATCAATGTGAATGTCAAGGACGTGAGTAAGTATGAATAAGAATGTAAAGAACGTGACCAAGTATGAATGTGAATGTTAAGAACGTGACCAAGAACAAGCGTTAATGTAAAGATCGTGAACAAGTATGAATGTGAATGTAAAGGACGTGACCAAGTTTGAAAAAGAATGTAAAGAACGTGACCAAGTATGAATGTGAATGTAAAGGACGTGACCAAGAACAAGCGTTAATTTTAAGAACGTGAACAAGTATGAATGTGAATGTAAAGAACGTGATCAAGTACAATCGTTAATGTAAAGAACGTGACCACGTATGAATAAAAATGTAAAAAACTCGACTTACTATGAATGTGAATGTAAAGGACGTGACCAAGTACAAGCGTTAATGTAAAGAACGTGACTAACTATGAATGTGAATGAAAAGGATGTGATCAAGTACAAGCAAGCGTTAATGGTAAGAACATGAATGTTAAGGACATGACAAAGCATGAACGTGAATGTTAAGGACATGACAAAGCATAAGGACATGACAAAGCATGAACCTGAATGTTAAAGACATGACAAGCATGAATGTAAATATAAAGGACGTGACCAAGCACGAATGAACATGTAAACAACGTGACAGAGTATGAATGAGAATGTAAAGAACGTGTCCAAGTATGAATGTGTATGTAAAGAACGCGGCCAAGTATGAATGTGACTGTAAAAGACGTGATCAAGTACAAACGTTAATGTAAAGAACATGAACAAGTATAAATGTGAATGTCAAGAACGTGATCAAGTTCAAGTGTAAATGTAAAGAACGTGACCAGGTATAAATGTAAATGTAAAGGACGTGACCAAGTATGAATGTGAATGTAAAGAACGTGATCAAGTACAAACGTTAATGTAAAGAACGTGACTAACTATGAATATGAATGTAAAGGACGTGGCAAAGTATGAACGTGAATGTAAAGAACGTGACCAAGTATGAGTGTGAATGAAAAGGACGTGATCAAGTACAAGCGTTAATGTAAAGAACGTGACCAAGAATGAATGTGAATGTAAAGGACGTGACCAAGTATCAATGTGAATGTAAAGGACGTGAGTAAGTATGCATAAGAATGTAAAGAACGTAACCAAGTATGAATGTGAATGTTAAGAACGTGACGAAGAACAAGCGTTAATTTAAAGAACGTGAACAAGTATGAATGTGAATGTAAAGGACGTGACCAAGTATCAATGTGAATGTAAAGGACGTGACCAAGTATGAATAAGAATGTAAAGAACGTGACCAAGTAGGAATGTGAATGTAAAGGACGTGACCAAGAACAAGCGTTAATGTAAAGAACGTGAACAAGTATGAATGTGAATGTAAAGGACGTGACCAAGTATCAATGTGAATATAAAGAACGTGACCAAGTATGAATAAGAATGTAAAGAACGTGACCAAGTATGAATGTGAATGTTAAGAACGTGACCAAGAACAAGCGTTAATGTAAAGAACGTGAACAAGTATGAATGTGAATGTAAAGGGCGTGACCAAGTATCAATGTGAATGTAAAGGACGTGACCAAGTATGGATAAGAATTTAAAGAAAGTGACCAAGCATGAATGTGAATGAAAATGACGTGATCAAAATAAGTGTATTTAAGTTCGTTAAATTCTGTAAGTTTTAGATTATTTTTAAGTAATCTATTTACTATATGTGTCACTAATATGCAAACATAACATGCTTCCTTATGTCATTTATGTAAATATGCAATATGTAAAATTAGAAAGCCACAATGCGCTTCTACAAAACATTGGACTCGGAGCTATTAAGGTGTGAAAACAGTTTTAAACTATGTTGACATGTTCATTCTGATCGAACACTTAATTGTATTGTTTCAGGAACGCAATACCACGTCAAGATTTATAGTTTACGGCGACATGGGGGCTAAAATGTCGAATATGACACGGGCTGCTATTGAAAATTTAAGAAGAACTCAAAGTATTAATGCCGTTCTCCATGTTGGGGACTTTGCGTATGATTTACATAGCGAGGATGGAAAGGTTGGTTCTTTACCCACAACACCGAGTGTTTTGTGCTTTGTGATTGTAGTGCTAACAATATTGCCATGGTTTTCATCTTTGGGTTAAATATCTTTTCTGGATCACCAGTGTCATTTCCAATCTTATGGATTAGTTAGCAAAAGAAATAAGTAAAGTTTTATGCGTTACACAAATCATTAAGGCATGAATTATTGTACTCGGGCGATAGTTGGACTTTAACATTTATTTTTTTTGTATTGTTCTTAACATGTTACGATGGTTTAAAACTTTCATGCATAATACAAATAATCAGATACCCGTCATAAATCAGTTTGTTTTGAATTGCTTCTCACGATGTTACAATATCTAAAGAACTTTTATTAGCGGGTCTCCGAAACTCGAGACTTTTCTTTCAATCCTAAAGAACACAACGGTTTAAACTCTTTAATGATTTACGCATGTGTATATACGAGGGATGATCAAAAATAAACTGGACTTGGACTGTCAATTCAAGAATTTTCAACCTATCATTTATTGTGATATATCACACTTAATCGGAAAACAATACTCGAAACTGATGCTATATCTAATATGATAACGCAAATAGCTTGTCCGTAACAGCGTATTTAAAAACCATGGTAACGCACATCCGGCGCAGTGCATAAATTTACGCTTACATCGGGCGCTTTATGATGCGTATATTTTACAATTTATCACATTTAGATTTCAAAAATACGCCAAAACTTCATGAGCTATATCCTTGAAGTTGTCAGAAAAATGATTTCATTTAAACCATATTTATATTTGCAATCACAATTCAAACGTCACTTGTTAACTAAAACTACGTCGTCGGAACGTTTCGAAAATCGGTCAATAAGAACAGTTTGTCAAAAGTAAGGCGAGAAACTGTTTTTAACATAGAAAAAGATTATAGCTATCAAGGGAAAAGTTGCAGAAAGCCACAACATAGTTTTTGAATAGCATTAACAATAAGAAAGGGTAATGTAGAAATGGAAAACAAGTAAGGGTGAGACAGAAAGAAGAATTTTTCAAGAACGTTAGTCACGTCATTTGCCGGGACGTTGAAAAATGACAGTTAATTGACTGCGGACATTGTCAACGATGTTCGACAGTAGTTACGGGACGGTTATGTCAACTCTAACTAAGGATTTTTTTTAATGTTAATGCATTAATTACATATATTACATTCTTAGTTTACAGTTGAATTAATAATTCTATTATTTTTCATTGTAGTCTTATCGAGAAAATGTGCCAACAATTTAACAGTCACGGTTCTAAATCGGCCATGCGTTTTATTTATTTAAAAATAACGACAATATTGTTTTTAGTTGTATTATTCTTTAATTTTCTCGTATGTATGATACATTATCATTCAGCCACATGAAATAAATGCAATACATAATATACTCGTAGTTCATTGAATGTGCGATCTGTCCAGCAATCAAGTTACAGAATGAAAGAACGGATTTTCTTGTCATTACAGGAGCTCTTTAACATCAATACAATATGATACCGACTTATAAAAAGATATATAAAGGCAGTGGATCTGCCGCTATCAACAACATGTGAAGCATGTATTGGCCTTCTTCGAGAATGAGTAAAAAGCTGCGCCGCAAAAGACAATATGCTGGTGACGTCGTTAACGTCGATTTTAAAGTGAAAACGTGCGCCGCATTGCTTTACATGTACATGGAAAAAACAGCATAACTTTTTTATTTGTTAATATTTCTTGTTGTTATTTTTGTATCATTTAGGGGATAGATTCCGATTAATTGTCCGTGTATTTTTATGTAAATGCATTTAACAGACAAAGAATCATCTACAAAGTCCGGTTAATTTTTGATCATCCCTCGTATATGTACAGATTTATAAAAAAGTATATTATAATTCCTAATGTATACATGTAGAAGTTGTTTGGTTTGAGAAATATGCAGTATCATGTTTAAGCCCTGCCAATATTTTATCATAATTATATTTTACAGGTAGGTGATATTTTCATGGAAGAGATACAATCCTTTGCAGCCGAGCTTCCCTATATGACAGCTCCTGGTAACCATGGTAATAATGTGTTTATAAATATCTGATTGATTTTTTCTTATTTATAAGTAGCATATACTTCGTAATAATTATCACTTGATAAGATAATAGAAAGTAATTGTAAATGCAATAAATCAGATATTTCACGCAAGTTACTGTGGATTTTATACATATTTATGTTGTCATATAAATCGTATTACATCTACAATTACTTTATGCTCATTCTCTATTGCAACATTGCAACTTACTGGCAGAAATACTCGGACTGTTTTGGGTTGTTTTCTTTCTTTCTTTCTATCTATCTCTCTGAAAACAACCCTTTTAATTGTCTGTCTTTAACAGACTTCCTCTACCGACGGTACTCTGAAAAAAAGTTATATCAAGCAAGGTTATGTGGTCGCGAAGAGACTATATGCCGAGTCATGTCAAAACCAACATAGAACGTTTGCGATCAGCATGGATCCAGACCAGCTTGCGCATCCGCGCGGGCTGATCAGGATCCATGCTGTTCGCTATAAGTTTCTCTACTTGTAATAGAATTGGTAAGCGAACAGCAAGGATCCTGATCAGACTGCGCGGATGCGCTGGTCTGGAACGCAAACCCATTATGCTGGTTTTGTCGTGACGCGGCGATATATTAGATATAATCTGCATGGTTGTCGTCTTCGTCACCATAGACGTTGTTGCAGTCGTCTCAATGCATTTCTATTTTGGTTATTTTAACTGTCACATCTGCTTTTACCCAAACTGACATTTTTGTTCCAGAAATTGCTGAAGATTTCAAGTCCTACAGAAATCGTTTCTCGACGCCTAACACGCCATGGCCGATACCACTTAACAAAATGTGGTACAGCTTTGACGTTGGACTAGTTCATTTTATCAGGTGAGCTTTAATAAAAATGGAGTAACAACCACAGACACGATCAAAAATAATAAATCCTTAACAATGTGTTCTAACATACAAATATTATTCGTGCGTGGTAAATTAACAGTGGATGGATATATCATATTTTAAACGATAACCCTTTTTATTTCACACCCAACAAAGTTTCAGCGTTTGCCCCGTTTGA